TAATTAATAATGGGTCATATGTACTTTGATATTAGTATTCCGTTAGTCTCAAACATTACGTTAATAGTCGCTAAAACGAACTCATTGCATACTGCCCTGTATGTACTAAACGAGGAAATAGAAGATGAAATACCCCATAAGGCATTAATATAGTTCAATTTAGCGGGAAAAAGTTGGTTATCTTGATCCAGTTTTCTCGGTCCTCTAAAACTGAAATATAAAAACATATTTAGTGATATGATGACGTCTCTGACTAACTTTTCTCACACCATATCATATTTATTTGAAATAACCCCATCCTCAAATAAGCGCCCCACCCTCTCAAAAACAGGGTGAAGGTGATTTGTCATTTAAATTTATTACCATTGTTTTACAAAAGGTTTCCACAAAATCTGGTTGGAGAGTAAACGAAACACTGCGTCTTTCCAGTTAGTTCCGTCAGGATATTTTCCGCGGAGCACTCGCATATCCAGGTCGGAATGATGCCAACTGAATTTCTTTTATACCAGTAGTTTCATGCTTTGAGACCGTTTGTCTACCCTTGAGATAGAAATGATTTTTGCAATTTATAAAGGCGAATTTGCTTGCAAGGCCTAAACAATGAAGCGTCCAAGTGTGGCCAATGAAAATGGTAGACAACCGGCATCATGAGGCCTGATCTGTTTATTATTCGCCATAGAACTGACGTTTTATTAGCCTGGCGTATCAGGCCTTTCCTAAGCCCGGTTTTTACTAGCGCATAAGCATTAGCGTAAGCATAAGCATAAGCACAAGCACATGTATAAGCAAGTGAAAACTAGGTCGACTTAAGCATAAGCAAAAGCTAAAAAAAAACGGACAAGTTCGTTCTTCTTGTGGTAGTGCTTATGCTTATGTCGTAGCTTTGACTAATGAAAACGGGGTCGACACAAGCACAAGCATAAGCACAGGCCGTGAACCAATCATAGGTCACTTTGACCCAGACCTCATGCGAACATATCAAAAGCAATATGGCGGACGCTTCGTCTGACATCTTGTTTATCATCGGGTTAAGGAGAGCTGGTATCGAGAATTGACTCAAATGTGCCATTCTGCGCGTGCGTATGTCCTTATGCTTATGCTTATGCGGTAGTGAAAACCAGGCTTTAGCTGTAGTCAGGGCTGGGGAAAGGGCATTTTACCAGTTTTCGCTGCTCTCTTCCCGTACGTCCCCTGAAACACCAGTGATCTCTCCTCTACCTCAGGGTAACGTCTTACATATGCACTGCATTTAATTAAAAGGCACGGCATCTACAAGGACTTTACATTCCGCTGTTTTTTTGTTAAATTTCGTTCGTTCCCTATTCACGCTATATAGACAACGAGCGTTCCCGTTTTGACCGAACGGGAACTGTTAAGCAGGCTGTGTAATTACATGTAATGATAAGCTATATCAACAACAACACGACGTATGATTTCAAAGATAGCTTAGCCGGAAAATTGCACAAGCTAATAGTAGTAATGAAAAATTACTATTATTATGATAATATATAAAATAAAAAAATATGAGGGTAATTATTATGATAATACTAAAAAATAATATCGACATGTCAGATGGAATTAGAGTTAGTGCAACTTAAACTGTTAAAGCCAGAACTTTAAAAGCCAGATTCTACAGCTATTTCAAGAAAGGTTGTCGGAAAAAGTGCACGCCGGCGACAATCCCGAAAGGTACTGTGGGTTATTTTGAGTTAACTGTTTTTCAAATAAGAGGCCATGGACGTATGTTCGTGAGTGCTAAAGGAAAGCAACAAAAGTAGATTTGACAGCTACAGTGTCAGGAAAAGTGCATTGATCATATCCCATTTTACCTTTCGGGATTGTCGGGTGCAGTTTTTTCCAACAACCTTTCTCGAAATAGCTGTATGCAAAAACAAGTTATTGAATGTTGATTAAACGTGATGAGTTAAAATGCCTATCTGCAATTAGTAAAATCCAGCTAGTGGTCTATTATCAATGCTGCATTCTGATTGGTTGAGCTACTACTAGGCTATATGTTATAGCAGCCCACCGTAGCGAAAAGCACGTGCTTTTTGGCGGCAAAAAAAGGATTAAAGGCTAGCTTTAACTAGCTAAACTTTTTTTATTCTCGATATTTTTGACCAACTAGTTGGATTTTACTAAAACAATTATTTCTCTCGCCCTCATGGCCTCTGAGTCAATAGCCCATTCGGCCTACATAACTCAGTTCATAAGGGGTTTTTGGTGGGCTTATAAACGGGGGGAGGGGGATTATATCTCGGAGGGGGGGGGGCATATAAGCAAAATAAAAATAAAAAATGTTTCGGAAAGACGAGATAAAACGTACCTGAGAGCGAATTAAAGCAACCATGCCATTAGATTTAGAGTTAAATTTGTAACACATTTATTGTATGATGAAGTTATGAATATATGAAAATCATATATGAGAACAGCGGATTGAAGAATTATATGAAAGAAGATCATCACAGTTATGGACGCAACTTTTGCAGTTGCGAAAAGAATGCTTGAAAATATATCACGCTTGTATGGGATTCAAACCCTTGACCTCTGCGATACTAGTGCAGTGCTCTACCAATAGAGCTAACAAGCCAATTGGGAGCAGGTCGCACTGCATGGTACGAAAATGTAGATTGGCCGTAGACCAACATACATGCTCTAGTCAATCATGTAAAATGCTTAAAACACAATCTTTTTACTCAAGGGGTTTAAAACCTTTGTCAACGGTTTGTTTGGGGCATATGAAGGATTTGAAATATCTCTCGCTAGGAGATCTAGGACAAAATGAATTTTCCCCAAAATGGTCGCACAATCTAAGAAAGTACACCTAAAAATTTAGTGGTGGGATTAATAAAAGAATACCGTATTTTCTCGAATAAGCGCCCACGCTCTAATAAGCTAAAGCGCGCCCACCCAAGGCCATTATATCAAACTGCCTCCCTCGAATAAGCGCCCCCTCCCCTCCTCCTCCTCACGTTTTTTAAATAATAAGCCGAAAACAAGGAAATTATTAGGTTCTATAGCGGCGACTTTATTTTTAACTTTTTAGGCTTGGGCTACCAGCAGAATCAGCAGCATAGGAGAAAATAGTTTTCTTTCCCGTTCAGTCACTATGTGCGCGCTTGCAAAGATCCTTTATGTGCGTTATTTATTCTTTTCCCGCGTTCTTGGTAAATGCCTTAAATTTTCTACGAACAACTAGTTCATTCTCTTGTTCTTTAAAGTAAAACGTAACTGAAGTATTCCTTTCCAATCAGCGGTAAAAAGTTGGTTATCTTGATTCAGCTTTTCCTTTTATAACTTAAACAGTTAAATACAAAATACATATTTAGTGATATAATGACGTCTCTGACCAAATTTTTTTTATAGTTACGTACCCTATTTACTTAAATTACACCATCTTCAAATAAGCGCTGCACCGTCCCAAACAACAACAAGTGTGAAGTGTATTTTATATTTTGTGATTTATTGCCATTGTTGTACAAAAGGTTTCTAGAAAATCTGGTTGGAGAGTGAACGCATAACTCCGGCTTTTCGGGTGGTTCCACTAGAAAATTTTCCGGAGCACTCGAATTTCTTAAAAGTCCTAAAAAGTCCTGTTTTCCAGGTCGGAATGATACAAACGGTTATCCTTTAATACAAGTTTCATGCTCCTGAAGCAGTTTCTTTCTAAGTGGAACCGATTTGTGCTAAACGCAAGTCCGGGACGAGCCAAGCCAAGCCCAAACGCGGAACCGACAGGTTGCCTATGCAAGTGGTAAACAACCAGTCTCTCTAGTTTTAAGACCCTTATTTCGAAAGTCGAAATAATAAACGGACCCGGAAAGCCGCTGTTAGTAACATTCATTTAAGATAAAGTTTCAATAATTTTGAAGATAACATAATGTCGGTTAACAAAAAAAATGGACTCTCTGCCTGGATCCGCGCTTAATATATTCTTAAGATTTAAATTTGAATAAATTAAAGCTGTCGGTACTTTCGAGGATTTAGAGAAACGGGCTCCTTAATCGTTCTGTTATTCGCCGTAGAACTGATCTTCCTTTCTCCCGCCACCGCGCTTTAAATTTCGCCTGCCTTACCCTTACGCGTCGTCCCTACTATCTGAGAGGGAGGGTGCGGCTACACGTAGGCTAAACGGCACTTCCTGACCAGTTTCGCTTGATGAGTATTAGCCATCGTGTTATTTACGATTTTAGAACCAAAAAAGTCCATGGAACATCCTACAATGGTCGAGCATTGCCTCACAATTTTTTCCACAAACTAATCTGATTTGTTCACCTCGTTTGTAAACGACAACAGATTAATCTCCCAAGCGCTTGCTAAGTTTCCCTATTCCTCTCCCATTACTCTCACCTTAAGAAAATTAGAAATAATCACAAAGAGGCGAACTGTTTGGCTTACGATCCCTTGGTCGGCAGTGGCAGTTTGATCACAAACTGCACTGTTAACTTTTCCCGCAACCGCCCGGGGAAGAGGTAAAATGACGAGAGTCATAAATACTTTAGAAAATAACAAAATAGAAATTCATGATTTTACTCCTACATTTAGAAAATAAAAATCGCACTACTAATGCCACGCTATACAAATAAATAAATAAATATGAAATAAATAAATAATGATTTGGAGGTACCGCCGCATCCACAAAGTGGTTTTTCGTCTACCTAATTCTTGGTCGAATTGGAATTTGGAAATGCTGGTTTTTGAGGAGAAGGGATAACCGGAGTACGCGGAGAAAAACCTCTCGGAGCAAGGGAGACAACCGACAACAAACTCAACCCACATATGGCGTCGACACAGGGATCTGAACCCGCGCCACATCGGTGTTGCGCCATCCCTTGCTCCCCGGCTTTTAAGAAAGTACATGGCCCGGGGAGCAAGGAATGTTAGCGCTTTTTTAACACAAGGCTAATGTTAAATTCCCCTTGCTATAAGTTCCAGGTGTCGGGGAGGGGGAGGGAGGGGGAGTTTCAATTGACTGGTGCACAATTCCTCCTTACATACGG